GAAGTCTTCATTCATTCCAACACCACGAGGGTGCACATCATTTCAAATTAAATTAAGTATTCATTTGACAATTTTTAACAGAAGTACAACAAAACTTGTTCTAATTCTCTAATTCAGTGTCTGCACAGTAAATATAGAAGAACACAATGTCTTCCCATGACCTTTCCTTCCTCTAGCAGCGGAGTCAGGATTCAATCTATTACTCAGCGAGCGAGGCTGCTCTGCTGCGCTCACGCTGGGCATCATTAAGGGAGCCAGCAGCCAATTAATCACTGAAAACAGCAGGAGTGTGATCTATGGACCCCTGTGGAGAATATGCACTGTGTGTGTGTGTGTGCCTGTTTGTTTTGGTAGCATTAGCCACCTAGCATGGTGGTGACTTTACCTTTGTGTTGAATTAATCAGATTTTAATTTGGGAGGAACTGGAACTTGGTGTAACGTCAGCAGTAACCAGAGCTTCTACTGGACTGACACGTTTACTGTTAGCCAGCTAACGCTAGCTCCATACTGGAGGCTGCATTTTGTACAATTTGTCCCAACCAGGCATCTGTAGTTTGTGTTGTCACTAGGAGACATGACATGATGGGAGGGAGAAGGAGCGGTTGGGAGCAGGTTATGGTGTCAGTTTGTTCTGAGTCTCTCTAGACCCTCTAGGCTGAAAGGACATTAGGTAGAGCAGCTTTAATAATCCACATTGACTGTTTCCCACAGTTCTTAAAGTTTTTTATGCTCAGTTTGTTTTTCTCTGGCATGTTCAGTGAAATGCGGTCACAAATCTCCTGCTGTCTGTCTGTTGTGAACTTTTAGCTGGTATCTATAATCGGTGTGGTCATAAAGAGCTACAGTGGACAGGGAACTAAATAAATAAACACTGCTTGTTTCTTCTTGTTCACTCTGCACAGAGATCGCTTCTATACTGTTTTTGTCTGGTATGAGTCCAGACTGCTGCTTCTGAGGACAGTGATCGGTGTTGATTGATAAGGAAGAAATGGATGATTCAGTAGTAGTCCTTATGTCTGATGTAACGTTCCAGTTACACTCTCACACACATTTGTTAATCAATAGCCTTGCTAGGAAATAGCTCTTTTCACTTTCTCTTTTATGTTCTTCTCTTATTACTGGCTCTTAAATTTTCAGTATTTTCCTGAGACAGCTGAAATTGAACTTGTGATTGCCTCAGACTTGATTTACACCCTTTTGTGATGCATCAGTAGCCTGGAGCTTTGCAGAAAGTGAAAAATACAAAAATTGAGAGTGAAAAAACTTCATCATGGTCCTCATGATGAGCATACACTTCTGTTTACAGCTGGCGGTTAAAAACCTGCTGTACCTGATCAGAGCAGCCTGATTCATTGTGGTCACAAAAAGAGGAAAGCACCCTGTGATCACGGCCTGTAATAAGTCAAATATTTGTCAGAGACAATAACATGTTCTGTTCATTCATTCTGATGCTGTGTCTGACCTCAGGTCAGTCAGACTGACAGAGGTTTGCTGCCACCTGCTGCTGTAATTTAACATCTGCTGAAAGGACAGATTGTTTCCTTATTTATGATTTTCCCTTCTTTCTGTCTGTGTTCCTCTCACTTCCTTCTCAGTAGTTTTTTCGATGTTCCTTCTGGTCCTATTCTTTTTTCATTTTGTGTACTTTAATTTTTCCTCCTCTGCTTTCTCTCCATCATTTTCCTTCTTCCTCTTCCTTGGTGCCTCATTAAACCTTTGTTCCTCAGCTGTTTTCCTCCATTTGCTTTTTCCTTTCTCTGGAAAAGAGGAAGGTAGATGTACAGAAACATTTTTACACATTTGAGAACGTACATGTAGGAAAGGAGTTGAAATGTAAAGAACCAGTAGAGAAAAGGAGGAGGTAGTAAAGGGTAAATGGAAGTAAAGATCATTGGACCGAGAAGGAATATGATGTAATCTCTCATGTTGTACAAGTGTTGGGAGCCTCTGAGGCCAACCTCAGGTGAGAGGCACCTGAATGCACCATTTCTTTTGGTCTCTGTGAGGTTGTATTTCCCTAAGCCCCACCACACTGGTGCTGTCAAGAAATCCCGGATACCAGTAACTTAGCAGCAGCTTTAAGCTCCGTCCACGTCCCAGACCTCAGTGATCTGATCTGTATGTGTCGCTGCTTCCCGTCCGTGTGTGTCGGTGCCGTGTACCCGGCTCCGGTGTGAACACTGCTCAGCTCTTAAACTACCGCACATGCACAGGTAACTGAAATGTGAGCCACGTGCACACAAGAATAACAACCAGGTGGTGTGTGCGATGGTCAAATGGCCCAGTTTCCTCCCAAACTGCTGGGTTACAATATGTTCCTCCCAGTTTGGCCTGATCAGAAGCTTCTCCATAAACCACCACATGTGAAACGTCCTGGTCTCTCCACTGACCCCATCGCTGTCGTCGTTCTCCTCCATGTTTATTGTTACCGGTCTGTGAGGGGCCGATGCCAAATGATGACGACAGGCCGTATGTGCAGAGGAGGAGACATTAAAATGACCACATCATGGATTCTGATCTGACTGTTTTGACGGCGCTGCACAGAGGTTGGAGAGGAATCAAGTCTAGGAGCACAGATCTGGTCTGAGGACATCTGGTCTGGTCTGTTCACACTGCTGTTGACACACCAGGTCTGAGGCACTGGGAGGGAAACTACAGCTGGGATGTGGACATAACCTGTGGTGGAAAAGCTATTTTTTCCACAACAAACATCAATCTAAAAACATCATATTGATGTTCCAGAAAATCCCAGCCTTGTAGAAAAATGTCCTCTCCTAGTAAATGTCTGTCTGCAGAAGTCACTTTAAAGGGAGCTCCACCAGCAGAGGAGGCTGTAGTCACACAGCAGAACCCCTCCTTCTCTGATGACAGCCCCACTTTCAGATGTTGAAGCTGAGATGCACAGATCAGTCTGAGTTTGCAGCTCTGTGTTCATCTGCACAAACACCACTGTTCTCTCTGCTGACCAGATACTGTTGAGTCGTCTTTGGGTTCTGTCGGTGTTCTTGACCTTCAGCCTCTTAGTCACTTAGTTGGAGGAATGAAAGGTGGTCTTAGGCCTTTGGTTTATCAAAATAAAGTAAAACAGAAATGTTGGACCATATTATGTAGTAAACACAATGAAACGTTTGAAGACATAAGGGATATAAAATAATAAGATAAATAATAAGCTTCTGTTTAAATCAATGAATTAGAGGGTACAGTTTTATAGAAGTGAGTCATTTTAAATGAGCAGAAATCTACAACAAAACATTGAGGTAACAGGTTTAAAGCAGGTGCATAAAAAACCTGTATGATGAAATGAAACTAAAACAATATAAAGACAAAAAGCCATCCGGCCACTGGTTACAGGCCATCTCGTGATGTCTTCATCAGGTACCTGATTACCTGTTCAGGTCATTATAACAGTTACAGTGGAGGGTAATAGAACAGTCTTACTGTAGTGTTAATGTAAATTTATTGTCATAGAAACACAGCGTTGCATCGTTTTCCTCACAAGCTTCCCTCTCTGCAGCTTGACTGTCCGTCCTCTGGACTGATGTAAGAGACTAATAAAGTGCAGCTGAAGTGCGTCGACAGGCCGCTGCACTGCATCACGGCCCCGAGTGCTGATATAACATGACTGCCATCAGTGAGGGTGGCATGCGCCCATGTTGCGTAATCCAACACCTTCTGGCTTCGCTCTCTTTGCTAAAAATACCAGTAGGATCTGGACCTCCATCTGATGCCGTCCTCGCTGTGTGCACTCACATGGTCCAGCCACACAGAAAACAAACACGTAACATCCTTAGCACTGATTTAGTCTCACACCGAGGCGTACTGCTGGCTGAGGGCTTTTTTCCCATAACAAAGGAGCAGCTCCCACCTGGGAGCATCAGGATGAGAAAAGTTTGTGTAACATTTCTTGACATTCGGACAGTCTTGAAATAAGGCAGGTGGCTGCAGCAGAACCGAGCTGCTGCTTGAGAGAAGACATTTAGAAACGGCTGGGTACAAAGAATGATCTCTCTGCTGCCAGAGTCACTTTTTGAATGTTTGTTGCTGACCCATATTGGTTGTGAAGGATGGTGGTGTCAGCTCGCTGTCTGCAGGCCCATTCGGGCTGCTGGTGTCATCGTAGGTCAGCAGCAGGGGCCCTCGAGTTGTGGGTGATGGGTGGGGAGGCGTCTCCGCAGCTGACTCTTGGCTTTTCACTCAGACTGCTGACTCCACCACTGGGTGTAAACGGCAGTATATGTACTGTATATCCCTCTGTGTACACTGTCATTTTCAGCGCTACCTCTGTCTGAGAAACTGCTGCTTCACTTGACAACTGACAAAGCATGTGGGGTCAACAACTATCACAGCCAACTTGATGGACAGGACTGTCCTCATGTAAAAAACTAGAAAACTAACAAAAATACAAGGGGAAAAAATTTCAATGAGGAATAAATAAATCAAATGCACAGTAACAACATACACTGTGGTTATCTGATGCAAAGGCTGATGTTCTTTGTTGAAACAGAATAGGGACACAAAGTTGTGTTGGTTCCTTACAATGCAAACCACGTGTCCAGGTAACGTTAACACCTGATCAGTCTGATAAATCTGAGAGGACTTCTTTTACTTTTGTTAACTTATTCTAAGTTAGAGTAACACGTTTTTAACATTCAGAATTTTTACAATGCCTACATAAATAAGCTAACACATTGTCCAAACAACAGAAGCTTATTTAATACAACTTATGATAGGATGAAGTGAAATATGATTCAGTGACATTTGCTTTATGAGGTCAACACTGCTTTCAGGTTCTGTCCTTATGGCTTCCAAATCATTCCTTCCAGACATTCGTACCATCATCCAGCAGATTTGTTAGGTTAAAGTGTTTATAAATAACTGGTAATCATTGGATATGATATGAAAATAAGACATCATTCTTTCTGAGGTCACGCACTAATAAAATCATTCAACTTTTACTTAAAGAAAAGTTGTTTAATTTGACTTTTTTATTTTTTGCCAGAGTGCACATTCATCATTTTGGATAAGCAGATCCCAGTATAGAAGAGGAGCAGTGCACGGTGGGAGATGTCAACATGTTCCTGATGGACCCAACAGACCTTTCCTCGGCTGAGCTGGAGATCATGATAGCAGGTGATGCCCAGTGTACTTATCTTAAAAGTGATTCCAAATCAAAGGCTGATCAGATATCTACAGTTAGTCTGTGCTGTGGTTTGTACATCTCAGTCATTTCCTGTGTATATCTCTTTATATCTGGACACTATATTCCCCTTGTTTTCTACAGAGCCTGGTTCCAGAGGCAAGGGCATTGGGATGGAGGTGACACACATGATGATGCGCCACGGTGAGCATCTGATCCCATCATTCAGAAGGTTTTGAGCAAGAAGACGGAAGCTTAAAGTCACCAGGTAGAAGTTGAAAATTTCCACACCTCTTGAATTACTGCCCATTTTTCTGCAATTCAGTCTTGTGCTGTGTTGGAGAGTCAACCTGTGGTGAAGCAGGAAATACCATTTTTCTGAATACAGTATCAAAACTTCAACAAAGCCTCAATTACCCATCACTACTGACACTAGCTTTCAGTTAGTAGCCAAACTCCATACTGGGAAGAGGCTGGGGTGGATGGCTGCTCCATAAAACATGGGACTTTCCTCCAGGAGAGTGGTGGTCTTTTCCAGTGTGTAACATGCTTCACCTGACCAAGTTGATTTTGTTCCTAAACCTAAAAAAGTTTTCTGTGCCGCACAACACAGAAGCAAACCTGAAGAAAAACATTTCAGAGGTGAAGAAGGGGCCATCTTGTAATCTGCTATCCTGTTCTCATAATACATCTGCAGTACAGGTGACACACTGAACATAAGAATGTAGTACTGTCTGCAGTAAGTGCACCTGCAGTTTCAGTTCTGTCAAACTACTGTTATGTCAGTAATGAACCTTTGTGCTTTTGTTGTTGTTTTTGCTAACAAATGTGTCAGTGATTCTCGATTCTAAATTATCGTCACTCAACAAGACACTGACCTCTCTGGTACAGATAGAAACTGTAGACAAGAAGTCCCTACATTAGTGCTGATGGGTGAAAACCTTGTCTTCCTGTCAGAACAGAGGCTTTCCAGTTTGCCACATTCAGGTGTTGTTAATGAAATGTTTCATCAGATCAAGGCTGGAGTATCTCTCCAGCAAATACACAGGGTTTTCATCTGAACTCAGGAGACTGAGGTGCTGTTTAAGAATAGAATATTCAGGTCGAACAAATCACTGCCTTAGGAGAAGTGAAGGTTTATTTGATAGGCATAAATAAATAAATATTCCAGTCATAAGCCAACATGAAGACTTTGACTGATGGAGTGGCAAAAAAACACACTGGATGTTTTACATGGACACTAAGTGGTTTTCATCCAGCGGGACATGAAAATGCATTGTCACTTTTTATTCCCTTGTGTTGTAACTTTCCTACTACTGTCCTGTAGCACCGAGTTGAGATCTGGGGGATGTCAGTGGGAGACTGGAGACCAGTAAGCTTCTTGTAGACTTACAAAAAAACCTTCCTGCACATTTCTTGTCACAGCTTTTTATATAAACAGCTGGTTTAAATGTCTTGTTTTGGGCTTATTGGATTCTCGCAGTGTGTAATCAGACATTTCTCTCTTTTTGTCTCCTCAGATATAATTCAATTTGCTGCAGCAGCCAACTGTGACTGGACACACTGATGAAGATGACAATTAGAAAAGCATTTATGATTTCACACAGTGAAAACAAGAACCCAGACAGATCAGACAATGTCACAGAATCAAATGTATGGAAGTTCAGAAGTGACAAAACTGTTTTGGTGAATCCAAAACATAAACTGAGTAATAATCAGCCTGCAAGTCACAACTGAGGAGAGCACAGACACGTTTTTCACAGCTAAAATGTCTAGTTGATTACTTCCATAGTTCATATTAGTTTTATTTGTATAGTGCCAAATCGCAACAAAAATCATTTCAAAGTATTTTACACAGAGAAAAACCCAACAAATAAATAAATGGCAACAATTTTGACAATCAATTAATAGTTATTTACCAAGCAAACAAAATGTTTGGTGATTCTGAAAAACCTTGAAAGGGCATTTTCACTAATTTGGACATTTTATTGAATACTTTAATTAAAAATAGTCAGAAAACAGAAGTAATTGCAGCCCCCGGTCATTGTCTATAAACATACTAGCCATTTTGCTATACATACAGTACATCATCTCTACAGAGCTGTTGTTCCCTTTTATATTTCTGGTTGTGTTTGGTCTTTGTGGGCTCTGTAGCAAATAACTGAACCAGAAGGCTGCATTGCAATATTGCATGTACAGAATTTTCTGCATCAAGTTGAAGAAATTCCTTGATTTAGCACTGAAATCCCTGTAATAGAGCTGTGACATTTACCGTGACATCCGGCATGATGTAGAACACATGCATCAAAATACAAAGCATACCGGTGTTGCTTTCAAAACAATGGCGTGTAATGGGAGTATTGATGAGCCTTTTCGACTGTGGTGCTGTGCAGCGTGTACAACATACTAATGATTATGGTCACAGATGTAAATTCATGTGAAGAATGTGTTTGTACACAAACAATAATGAAAGTCACTTTCGGCTTTTTCCCATTTAGGGGTCGCCACAGCGAATCGTCAGTGGCGACTCACATGTTGACATTTGACATGTGTTTTACGCTGGATGCCCTTCCTGACACAACCCTGATTCGAACCCAGGCCACAGCGGAGAGAGCGCTGCGCCTTAACCACTAGCCTACCAGGGACTGCAAAAATTTAGCACATATTTGCTAAAATACACCTTCTCAGTTGGTTATTTTATAAATAAGTGTGCCTCTGTTGAATTTATGTTAACATTCTGATTATTACACTATGCATCACTATTTATAATATAAGGTGACATGTATATGCGAATCCATGCTTTTAATTTTTACCTCCAGTAGAACTGAAGTGTCACAGTGTGTGGCTCTGCTTTCTACAGTATGTGACAGAAGCTTTTTCTGTGGTGTCCCGTTGATGCCTGGTATTAAAGTTCTTTAGCTAGCATGTTTAAATTTTTGAAACAAAACACAGCTGAATTTTGTTATTACAGAATGTGTCTTTGTGCGCTGTACTTACAGATAAATTACAGCTGTTGTCATTAGTGAACTTCCGTACATTCAGAGGTGAGTAGTATTCACATGTTCAAGTTTATGCAAATCCAGAAGCTGATGAACAGTATGTAGACCATAAAACCCAACTGGTCCTTAAAAGAAAATTAAGACAAAAAAAAGTTATGGCCAGGTTTGGTTTGACATTCAACCAGAGACATTAACAACACTTAACAGTACAGGATAACACACTGTGTGCCGTTCGCATCCTGTCAAAGCATCGGGGCGCATGTCACATGATCAGATTAAATTCTCATTCCTTTGCTAGGTTCCTGAGTTGAATATTGCATTTGACACTTGTGCTTTGCGCTCAGGATGCAGGAAGGAAAAATGCACCAGAAACACCTGAATGCACCATGAAACCTGGTGCTGCTCAAAAACATCACATCAGATCTTTTTTTTTCCTCAGTGTTGTTGCACCACAGTGAACAGAGATGTGCCAACCGTACTGCTGCTGTGCAGTATATATTATTTACATTTCTGCATAGTAAACAAATAAATAGTTTACCTGTTTCTTGGCAATTAGGATTGAGTTTGATTAATTCTCTTGAAGGATGTATTAGACCAGTAAATGGGGCTGCTCCTGGATTTTTATATCAGCACCTCGAATTGTGAGGTTCTTAATTGAATCAGCCAAAAACAGGCTTGTTTTTAAATTCAGTTTCTCGATTGATTTTCTGTGCAATTTACGGTTATGCAGTGTGTTATTACAATGTAAAATGACACATTCAGTGATAATCTGTAAATATGATGAAAGTTAGGAGATTTCTTAATTAGTGTAGTTACCAGGTTTCTCTCAGGAACATGTGGCAATTTAAACCTGTGGTTCCCAACCTCTGTCTCATGACCACTAAGATACAGAAATGTCTTGGTCAAAGAAAAAAATGCAATCAAGAAAAAAAAAAATCTGTTAATATTATGACCCTGAAGATTTAACCAGTGTCACCTTGTGGAGGTCTCCACCCCGAAGGTTGGGAACCATTGATTTAAAGTAAAAACCCAGCAAGAGTTGATGACAAATGTGCATTTGAAGAGGATGGCATTAGGCTTTGGAATGGAAAATGACTACTTAGTTTACTATATGTCGTAATGTTTAGTTTGGGATTATATACCATCCGCATACCAATACTTTGTTATAGACATTATTTGTAAATCTGTAAAATGTCTTTAATGTTTGACAGTACTTTAAATACAAAGCTACTTCTGTCACTAGTGTATTTGCATTCAGAGATATTCTATAAATTCAAACATATTAACATGTTTATATATATATATATATATATGTATCTGTATATATTCCAAACTCACATACATCCATATGTACAGGGTAGTAAATAGTGTATTTACATAGAGTAGGTCGCACTGCTGATGGTCTTCGTTCAGCAGCTTCACTGAGTCTCGAGTCCAGCTGCATCGGAACAGGTTGAAATTCCTGAAGGCAGAAGAAGTATTGCCTTGTGTCTCATTTTGTGAGCGAGCTGGGTGGATCAGAACAGCCGTGGCCCTTCCCTCTTTAAAACCCAACCTGGACTTGGCAGAGTCTTGCTCGAGGTGCTTTTCCCTCCATATTGCATTCAGTATTGCTGCTGTGCCTCGTGTGGGAGCAGCGCTGCAGTGATTGAGAGGCACTGACAGAGCGGAGTAAGGGTGAGGGGTTAAACAGGAAGTTGAGTGTCGTCTCGGTCAGAAAAGATCCCGAGGGCCCAGGTGGATGATGATGGGTGTGGCTATGATCTGTGGCTGGTAATAGGCACTGTCGATGTACAGGCTGCCTGCAGACAGGAGACACCAGCGTTAACAGTCAGTTCATTTAGGATCTGCTTGTTCTGTAAGTTTGAAGTGATAGACGTTACTGAATGTGCTTCAGTCATATGATCACTAAGATCTACAGCTGGGTGACAGAGGAAAGGACAAGTTCCCAGCAGGGCCCTGTCAGGGCTGAGTCTCCAGAGCCTTGTCAGGTCTCCTCTGTCAGAGGAGGAAACCTCCTCCTTCCAAACCAGATCCCCTCACTGTGTCCAATCCACTGTGTCGTCCTCATGAAGCCTCTCAGTGACCTAGAGCTGCAGCCATGAGTCAGTTCACTGGTAGAAAATGAACCTCAGCTATTTAGAAGCAACAGTCACCGACATGTTCTGGTTCCACTTTGTTTAATGTGAGGAGCTGATGCTTTTCTTTGTCAAACATGAGAATCAGCTGAGTCTCTGTGGATCTGCTGGTTGGACACAACAAGATGTGTGGCGACACCACCTTTGGCTCTGGAGAGTCACAGTGGGACTTTCTCCCAGTGTCTGACATTCTGGGGATAAACTGATCAATCAATCAGATCATCACTCACTCAGGGTTCTCCTTTCATCTGTCACCATCTGTACTGATGCTGAAAGAAAAATCAGTCTGTACAGTGTCATTGTGCCTCAGAGAACATTTGTCTTGTACTGGACTCGTTCTCCACCTTTATGTTTACTTGTAACTCCACCTTCCAGTTTTCCTGGGCAGTTAGGGATTATTGCCAACGTGTCAGGGTGAGTGCTGACCAGTGACATGTTACAGTAATGCGTAGTGTAAGAGGACTGCTAATCCCAGTAATACTGTTAATTTGACATGTGGCTTGTTCACATCTCACTGGGACTTGAATCAGTAGTGGTAGAGGGTTGATATCAGCTTGGTCTGTGCTCAGTGGGCAGAATGGTTGAGGAGTGGGAGGTGCTGTCCTCAACCAGGTGACTCCAAAGTTGTGTTTTAAATATAGTGTTTTATCATCTGGTTAAGGTGGCAGATGTGCCACTGGTTTGGATACGTTCAGGGGTCATGTCTCCTTTAGATTTGGAGGGTTTGAGCTTCTGCAGAGCAGTGTGTGCTGTCACCGAGGCTAAGCTAGCTGCCGGAGGGCCGATACCCCCTTGTTAAACAGCCAGAAAACTAGTCACCAAAAACTAAGAGCGCCTCTAACAGGCCTTTTCAAGATCCAGTGGCAGATGAACGTCCATCTTTTCTGCAGCAGTGAAGTAAATGAAGCCTTGAAAACTGTGGGAACGTCTGCGCCGGTGTGGTCTATCCCAGCAGTGTTGTAAAAAAAATGTCACCGTTGTGTTTGGCTGTTGAGTTACACTGAACTGGAAAAATAGAGGTGTCTTAAAACTTTTGACCAGTAACTTAATTCCCAACTTATCCATGCAACAGATCCTTTTAGCAAATGTTAATGGACTAAATGTAAACATCAGAAACCACAAGTTAGTCAGCTGTTGACAAAAATATTCATTTATTTAAAAGAATATTACTTACAAACAGGTCAAATCATATATCTCTCTGAAAATACTGAACTCAACACAAAGTGGCTCACAACAGGAAGTGTAAACATTGAAAATCCAAACAGAAGGAAACGTTTGTCAGTGCAGCCGCGTCTTGTAAACCAGTTTTTTCCGTCTCTTCACGGAAACTTAAAACATCAGTAGAAAACAGAGAAATGAAAATACAAAACATTCATGACCATGAGTAACTGTTAAAGGAGTAGTTCACCTCTTGACAAAGAAGCTCATTGGGCGCCCACCTCGTCAGTTTCTTAGCTGCAGATTCGGTGTCACCTTACTTCTTTACAGATGTGTGTATTAGCTGCATTCCCTGGAGCAAAGGCGTCGAGTGCTGCTTGGCTCCTACAGTTTGTAATTAGTAGTTTTGTTCCCTCCAGTGGATGTCTTCAGTAGTTACTGTAATAGCTGGTGTGTGTTACCTTCTTCCAGTTTTTATTAGCTTTGTTGGAACATTGTTCGGTTCCTCATTTCTCACAGTGGATTTTCATTTTGTTCTGTACACGAGTAGCTGCCCTACAGCTGATGTCTTGTTCTCGTTCCCTGTAGAGCCTGATCAGCTCCTTACAGCTATTTACTTGCCGTTTTGTTGTGATTTTTTTAAAAGTCCCCTAGTGTTTTTAATTAGCTGGACTCCTGAGTTAGTTAAGTAGCTGTTTGTTTAGTTTCTCTGCTGTATGGTTGCTCTTTTTTGTTTTGTTACTTACGGTGGACATCTCCTTCCTGGAGTTCGTGGGTACCTTTTCTTTTTAATCTTCTGTATTTCCCTTTAGAGCGGGCATGGTGACTCCATAGCTAGTGCTAATTTAGCTGTCACTGCCTCCATTGTAAAGTTTAAAGTCACATTAAATGGTGCCAGCAGGGCACTTGGCCTCAGAGAGAGCTCAGAATAAACACGACTTCAGTCAAATCATCTTTCACTGTGATCTCTGAGCCAGAAGGAAAGCAAACAGAAGACATCTCCGTCTGGAATAGCCAGTACAGCTAACTGCATCGGAACATTACATCCTGGTGACCTGATGATCATCCTATGCAGTTAGCTGTACTGGCTACCCCAGACAGCTCTTATCCTTTATCTGCTTTCCCTCTCACTCAGAGCACAAGAAATGATTTGCCTGATGTTTATTCTGAGCTCTCTTGCAGGCTAACGGTTTCCCCAGTCAGGTCATGTAATGCAACTGTTTGTTTCCTTGAATCTCTACAACAGAAGCAGGGATGGCAAAATTAACACTAGCTATAGTCTCAGAAAACCCGCTTTAAGAAGAAATACAGCATGTTCAGAAACCCCAAAGTGACCCTTGAAGCTCTGTGGAGTTTCCTGTAGTGAATTAGGTTCCTATTTCCATGTAATCATTATGAGAGCCATAAAGTAGACAGAGCTCCCTCCTGTGTCATATTTACCTGACTATGTCTCTGCAGCTCACTGAACATGTGTCATTGCAGGATGATTTGATTGTCAGAGCTTCTTTGTCAAACTGTGTGTTCACACAGCTCCTGTAGTAATAACACAAGTGTATCTGACTGGCTGCTAGTACAGTGCAGGGGAAGCATGAGATGCAACAGGTGGGCTGCATGCTGTGATGCTGGATGAGGATTCTGGTGAACACAAAGTCAGGATGTTCCTTTAACAGGTGGGTGAGGGAGAGTCCTAATAGGGGTAGAGGTGGGTGACGGTGTATGCTGTGGGGACTCTGATGACGGGAACAACTACTGAGGGCATTCTGGAGGGAAAACCTGAGGAAGAGCAAAGAAAGAAAAGAACTCAAATGTTGGGATGTGGTGACAGACAGACGTAATGGGTGATTATTGATCAGACACAGGAAGTGAGAGCTTACTGTAGGCAGGGAGGGCGCCTGCAGGGGTGTAACCATACGGAGCACCAAAACCTGGGGAAAAAGACAAGTGTGAGCAGTGTAGTTACTGCACAGAATAATCTGACTGCTCCGTCTGCATCATCCAGTTTGTTTCTTACAGCTCTGAACATTTTTAACTGTTTTCACAATGTTTGGTGGAAAGTTCTGCTTTTGTTTTTGGTGGAGATGTAACATCATAAGATTCAAAATTGATTTATCACTGTTTTGATGCAGAGTAAATGTTCTGAAGCATTTTGGTTGAACTAAACACATTTAGCAGTGCTAGCTTAGTAACCTACTACATGAAGTGAAAGCTAATGTTGGTAGCTAGTAGGTTTCTAAGCAGCGGTGCTGTTACCACATATAGGTGAACAGAGGACCTGTAACTTGTGGATCGACATTATCTTAAATATTGACTGTAAGAGGACATCATTAATACAATACAGGCATGTTCTGATCAAAATGAATATGAAGATTAAAATAACAATTTAAAGTCCATTTAAGTTTTGCACCTGTCCTTAAATGCAGCACACCTTTGTGGATCTGAGAGCGAGAAAATACTCTCCAAACGTTGCACGTGAGCATAACATGATCTATGTGTCAGGCGATCTGTGCACATGCATCTAACAATCCGTACAACTTTTTAAAGAACTGCACCCAGAAAATTGTTTTTACACATTAGTAAGTTGCTGGACAGGCATCTGTGGCCTTCGTGACACAAGCACAAGTCTTGACTGTATTTGTAATAAGTTATAAGAGAACTTTACCCCCATACATCACTAGCTGATCTGTGTTGTCCTGCTGATACTTTGACCTGTACAGAACCAGGTGAAGACCCAGTCTTGAGTTTTAGGGAACCATTTTTGCTTTCTGGTGGAGAGCTACATGACTCCTGTCTGTACAAAGCACCAGGCTACTGTTATGGCCAGCTACGTGAATAACAAACAGCAGCTTTGGAGGTGCTGGTAGGCTGACCAGGCCAGCTGTTCCTTCTGTTTCCAGTCCTGGTGCTAAGCTAACAGGCTGCTGGCAGTAGCTGTGTATTCACTGTGAAGACAGGAGGTCAATCTCTGTCTCTCCAACAGAAACAAATTGGCGTATTATGTATAATGCAACTATGCCTTTAAACTCATAACCGGGTGAACCGTAAACCCTGAGCATTTGTCCTTTTAAAGTTCCACCCTTTGCTTACCGCATTCTCATTATTTCTCAGATGCACTAATCCAATTGATTTAGATTGATTTTGGATCTCGCACTTCATTTACAAATATTTGTTGTTTATGATCCTGATGTTCGACCTGCTCCTGCGCAGTATACTGTACCTCGCTCTGTTTGATGATCCCTTCCTGTATTTGCTGCTTTTAATTTAAGGTGCATCATGTTGAGATATTACAAAGAAGAGACTCATGGAGAGAAACAAAAGGGAATATTACCACTGGATTACAGAAGGAGCACCGATGTATTGTACATCGGAAGAAACCTCGTCTTAGATGGAGGATTGATTCCATATATTCATGAACTTGTGAAATTTAGTTTTAAATTTAATTTAAATTTAGAAGTAAATTTACATAGGTAACTTCACCAGCCAATCAACATTATATTACATAATTGTCAGCTCAGGTGGCTCCTATCTGTCATGCAGCTGTGTGCCTCACCTGGGGGGATGTATCCATGTGCGGGTGGGGTGCTGATGTAGGGAGCTCTGGGGATGACGGGGACATGCGGAGGTCTGACAGCGAGGGCCGGGAGGGTCAGCACCGAGGCTACAGGTCGCTTTGGCTACACAAACACACACACAGTTCACACATCAACGTTGCACGTGATGGTGAGAAATTTCAGGCTTCAGTCAGCTTCACCATTGCTCTTTACTCACAGCAGGGTTGGGCCGTTTCTTCTTGTTGTTCATTGATTTGGAGCTGGAAAACAGGCTGTTCAAGGCGGCGAGGGCAGCACTGGCCTTGGCTACTTTCTTATTGGGACCCGTCCCTCGAAAAACCTGCTTGTCCACCTCCACCTGTCGCAGCACCAAAGACACAATAGGACATTTTATTATTAATTACATTCATTTCATAATTAAATTTACTAACTCATAATTCTGAAATCTGGTGCAGGGATTGGGAAGCTTTAGAACGTGACAGAAAATCTCCATGTTTTTAAGATTTCATTCGGGGATAATTCACAAGTCTCCTTTAACTGGGTACCACGGATGTAAAGACAACGATCACTGAATGACTTTGATACTGAAGAAACCTTAAAAACATGAAGGTTCTTGGGCCGGTTGTTCCAACTCCTGGACCATTAAATCATTGTACATCATCTTGGAATTACCAGTTTGCCATAATTATAGGATAAGGGCTCTAATTTTTTTGGGAATGCAGAGCATAATGACATGAACGTGGCACAGCTTGTCATGTGCGCCTACCGTGGCAGTACCTTCCAAACATCACCTGTCAATCAAATCACTAATGTCTTTATCTCTCCAGGTATGGGGCGGAGAGGGCTCGTGCTACATACATCGAGAGATGGGCCGATCCGATCCTACATCGGTATCAGGTCTGATATCGATCAGGACCGATCCCCTTACCGATTCATATTCCAGTTTGTGGAATATGAATGATCCTGCTGTAACCAACGTAACATGACGCGTTGTCACCGATCCAGATTCCATTCCACATCTTACCATAAACTTCAGTCTAACAGTGAGCTAATAACATGAGTTGTTAGTTTGACTAGAATGTTGTTTGTTTGGAGATATTTTAGTCTGGAAACACCAAAAAGCAAGGCACAGCTGTGTCGTACAATACAACCAATTTAATCAAGCACCTACAAACGCAGACCTCCAGCAGACAACCCAAAGGCTAAAGGGACTACAGAGAAGTTACTCAACTTCATTATACTCCATGACCAAACCGCTATCTGTAGTGGAAAATGCCAGGCGATGGAGATTTGTAAATGTGCAATAATTTGGAGAAGTGTGTGTCTTCTTGTGGTTGCACTTATCCATCTTTACTCATATTTAATATTTTATTTTAGTGTTGATTGTTTTATTTCAATGAAAGAGTTCTTCTATCGGATCGGACCTGAAAAATTGTGGATCAGCTCTTCACTACATACATATTGTTTATTTCAAACCTGGTGGAAACATCACTTGGGGGTGCCACATGCTTTTTGCAGAGAAAGAGTTGCCACACACACACACACACACACACACACACAGTGTGACACTATCATTATGATTAGTGTAGAGAAGTAGTCCTCCATGAAAACACACACAGCTTGTTAGACTGCAGTGACATTTAGCCTTAAAACCAAGTAGAGAATAAACAACCACAGTGGCTCAGGCTGGTTTCATGGGATAAAACTGGTTCCATGTCCACTGATCTTTCCTGGCATTTCCAAATACCAAACACGTTCCCCCCCAATCAGTTTCTATGAGGACCCTCTGACAGGAAATCTATCAAACTGAGCCGTGTGTGTGTGTTCATACCTCTATGATGAAGCGTTTGTCGTAGCTGCTGCCGCTCTCTGATATCAGCTCGTATTTGAGGCCGCGGCGTTTCTCATTCAGCTCCATCACTGGGTTTTTACCCCCTGCCGTCAGGATGGGACCCAGAGCTCTGGACTGAGCACACACAGACAATCAGCTACAGTTACGTTTAAGGTTTACAGGTGCAACATGTGTAGTACATGCTCCTAATACTACTGCACGATGAACAGCCTCTTAGCATTTGAGTTTTCTTATTCTTCATGTTATTGTGTTCCCTGCTTTTATCATCTACCCTTTATTTTACTCGGCGGGTCTTGCTTCGAGGAGGGTGGGGGCCTTTACATGTCTGTGTAGTCGAGATTTGGAGTTATTAACAGCAGCTATTTACTTTATGACAGGCTATTTCAAGTTGTTTATTTGGTGTTCATTTTTTATTACAGTGAACAACCAGTGTATCTATAATGTTCACTTAATTACTGCCAATAACAGCCTGAACAGGAAACGCATGTCACTTGTTTCAGATGAACCAGCCACCAGTAGCCCTGTCTGCTACTGGGGGCTGGTGGGACTGCAACTGTAGCGGTGGCTCTGCTTCGCT